TTCGGCGACTTGTGTGGCAGCGATTCAGATGACATTAAAACAGAATACTATTGAAGCTTATAATGAAGTGACTCAGTGAATCTGTACTCTGATAAATATCTGCGATCGTCTTCATGACGGAACAACAACAGCTTGGAAAACTGAGATCCTGACTGCAGATATTCTCAGAGTGGAAAGTATAACACACAAAACATACGCATTTATTGAGATGAGCATCACGACTGACGAGTCATCTCTCTTGTAACTTGCGTCAACTAAGTCTCCGTTTCATCCTAGGAGCGGAATTGAGAGTACTGTGTGAACAGAATTGAACATCTACCAGCGAAGCCATAAGCCCATGTATGAGGTAATGTATATACTAGAACCCGGAACCTATAATTTCCGTCAAACTAGTCGCATCAGCTAATTTCCAGAAGTGATAGAATTTATGATACACGCGTTTTTCATCGGAAACTAGTGTACTGGCTGGGTAGTGATTATAGTAGATTCAGCACGTGAAAAAATATTCCCGCAGACCAATTAATGATATGAAATGCTTAGTACAAGTGTGCCAGTTGAATAGTGCTTACTAAATATAGTGAAAAACCGAATTCAGATGGTGTGCAGAATCTGTCGGTGAGATCAATGGAAATTGGAGGTAAGTTGCTTAGGTCACCTTCCTACCCTCTCATACTGATACATATCACTTCAGTACGACGAAATACGTCTTCCTATCATCCTGTTCATACACCTGACATGTTATTCACAACGGAACTGAAATCACTGGAGGCAAAATTAACTTGTTTGAACAAGCATACCTAACGTTTCCTCGTCTTCTGATTCGGGCTTCCCAATTTGATATCTGTCTGTGCAGAACCACACAAGGGCTGATATGATGTGAGCTGCATTACATATCTTGTCAAACTGATTGATGGCTTCATCGGTGAATTTGTAAAATATTGTGATAATATAGTGTTCAGATGGAGAGAGATGAAACACTGGTGTCAGGGATGCGTAATATTTCCAGTGCCAGGAATATCTGCCTACAGCCGTTTTTGAGTGTTGAAAAAGTTAATAATTCAACAGTCGGCTGAGTTTGAGAAGCAACTGATTCATATGTGATACACATTAAAGTGAAAAACCGTCTCATATGTGAGGTGTATTTAACATGAAATACCTGTTGGGAACTGCACGAACACAGGTTACAAGTAACTATTTTCTTCACAGTATATTGCCCGATTTCCTGCACTGAATATTCGGAGACACACTCGTAAATAATCTGATTTGTCACATGAGTGTTGATCGACTTATACGTTTCGGTTCGAAAGCGTACGATTTCACAAAGCTTCAAATATGAACATTCTCAAACATCAATTTGAGTTTCAATGAGCATGTCAAATTAAAGCGTTTAAAAAATTAGTTGCCTTTATGAATTCAGATGAACCAAAAAGAACACGAAATTCCATACTAGTTTGTTTATTAGATGTATCACACAGTGAAACAGTACTGTACACTGGATGACGTTTCGAACACAATTTATTGTTCACAATCATATCAATTGTGGTCACACGACTTTGAGATTTGAGTTTTATAGTTTTCTCTGTCGTCTCCTATTTGTCATATGGCCAGTAGAATTTTCCATATATCTGGGATAGGTATTGAATCGTTTCTATTACATATATTTGCCGTTGATTCGATGAACAAAGCTTCTGTTATCAATCTCTCCCTCCATTCACCCTGTGACATTAGATTTTAAAACTGTCATCCTATCCCATCCATCCTATTGTATGGTTGTGTGTAATTGCATGTAGTGCTATAGTTGAACTATTTTCTAGATTTCTTATCTTATTTGGGTCAACCAATCTAGATTTAGCTAGGTTTTTATGTTCCGTTAGTCTGACTGACTGTCCCTGTTCTACTAGTCTGACCTATGTATTTGACCTGACAATCATTGCAGGCAGGGTATTAGATAAACTAAATTGTGTTGTTTTCAAGGCTCAACAGGATTGATCCTCTAGCAGGCAAAGCTTCTTTCTAATTGAGTTTGTGGGTTTGAATACCAGCCACTTTTATTCCTGCCTGCCTTGTTAAGTATTCCGCGTAAGGCTTTCGAGGTTCCTTCCTTGTTTGGAATTACTGTTGATGATTTAGAATCCTTATTGTTGGTGTCGTCATTCATATTGTCATTATCACTATTATTATTACCATCATTATTATCATTATTATTGTTATCATTATTATTATTATCACTATTGCTACTATAATTATTTATTTTATTTTTACATTTACTTACATATTTCTTGACTAATTTATCCGGGTAATTATTAAGTTTCAAGGTTTCTTTTATGTGTATCACTTCCTGTCTTAGATTTTCCTTGACACTACTTAGTTTTTGTGCTCTGTCATTTAAACATTTCACTAATCCTATTTTTACTGACATAGGATGGTATGATCGGAAATCCAAAAATCTGTTTGAATGTGTGGGCTTTCTGTAAACACTAGTGTTTAGCTTCCCATCTTCTTTCCTTTTTACGTTGCAATCTGACATTGGAAGTCCCCCTTCCTGACTTCCTAATTCATAAGTGAATTGAAGTGCCTCTACCTTCGAGTTGATATGCTCGAAAAATCTATCTATATCTTGTGTTCTAAGTACAGTGAATGTGTCATCTACATACCTGCACCATACTTTTGGGGTGGGGGTGAACGTTTCAATCGCAATCTTTTCCCACCTATCCATGAATATATATATGCTACAACTAGAGATATTGGTGATCCCATGGCAACCACCTCAGTTTGTTTGTATATTTTCCCTTGGAATTTAAATACTGTAGAAGTTAGGCAAAACTTCACTCCCAGCATTATGTCCTCAAGTGGCACTTTTGCTCTAAGTTCGAGTTTTTGGTCAGAAATCAGTTCGTTTCTGACCGCCTCTATAGCCATATTTATTGGTATACGTGTATATAAACTGACAATGTCAAAACTAACCATTTTTTTCTTCATCATCTAATTTTGAATTATCTAATCTGTGTTTTAGCGAATAAGAATTAGTTAGTTCTGATTTCGAGTGGCGTAATTTGTCTGAATCGAGTAATTTACTTGTAATAGAGAATGTAAAGCCATTATATCTAGCTAAGCCCTTCGAACATGCGAAAAAATGCCGTCACATCCCAGTGTATTTACCAGTTTGAATGTACGCGTTGACACACATTCATAGGCATGACTCTTCCTTCTCTGCAAGTAAGGGCTTCAGAGCATATTGCAAAATGGCTCCAGAAACAAATGGAATCTTCAGAACCTATTAACGGTGAGAACAGAAGACCTACCTCTCCTATTGCGAAGCATATTATAGAGACAAGACATAAAATTGATGTTAACAGATCTTTTAAACCTTTCTATAAAACGTGTTGGGGGCGTATCCTAAAGTTTGTAGAAGCCCTAGCAATTAGAAAGTTCAAGTCACATTTATGCGTTGAAAAGCAATTCGTCATCACATTAAACCTTCCTTGGTAAATTTTGTTTTGATAACAGCCATAGCAGATGTACTATTACCTCTGCTATTTGGTTTAGTGGTCTTCATTGTTATTTTGACCTTGAATATGTCCTCCTTTTAACTTGACCTAAGTAGTCTATTTCCTCACCTCTTACCTCTTTATTAATTTCATATACACACATTCCTATGACAAGTCGGTGTTTGATGGATCAGATTGTTCGAAATGTGTTGTGGGCGCAAATACATTACACGATTCTGACAAATTACGTCTTGTTATTGCCTTTATCTTATGTAACGAATACCACTATAAGTTCTTGAAAGTTTTCTCATGAGCTATCTAGTGGCCCTTGCTCTACTTACTTGGATATTTGAACTAACTTTGTAGTCGGCTTCCACTCACCGCCTACAATTTATATCATCGTTTCGACGATTGCATATCATATGTTCACTTCATGCTTATTATTTTTCTGTATCCCTGTTAGATCTCACTGCTTCCACTTGTGGTTTTACGATACTTCGAAAATATGTTGTTTTACAATGTGATTTATTTTGAGTTAACCGAGGCGATTCTTATCTTGGACTGTCTTCGTGAATTATTGGTGTGTGATTCTGGTGAAGAGACTTCGAAAGGCACCTTGTTGTGAATATTCTACTTGATTCTCACCTACTTACTGCCTACGGTTGCATTCTGGTTCACTAAATTTGCAATGCGCTTCTTGTTTTCTACTTGAAATATCGCTTCGCTATATAGCTGCCTAACGACAACGTTGAGGTAATTCTGAGTTCCGGATAAATTAATTGTTGTCGAACAGAACCACGTATGCTTCACGACAAATAACCGACTTCTAGCTGACTCTGCAGCCTTTTCTGACTGTGTGTCTCTCGATTAAGTTTCAAAGAGTCATAGAGTAGGACGCAATGAATGGTCCCCTGAGATCACAGCACAACGATTCTGCATTGTGCGTTACACACAGATTTATGCAAAAGCACGCTTTGGGTATTTCAGCATACCCAGATATCACCCAGCGCCTCCTCATTCAGATGTATCTATTTGGTGTGAGTGATGGCGGGGATGACTGTAACAAACGTCTTAGTTACTGGAATGAGTGAATAACATGTAGCCACTTATTTGATTTAAAAATGGTTTGGAAACGTGTATTACGTGCTCTTGGTTCACTAAGTTCATTTTAACCATGATCACCTGCTCGAAAGGCATTGACTCAATTGTAATCGAGATGAAGTCAGTGACGCATATATGACTTCTTACCATTGGTTGTTAATAAAAAAACAGTAGGCCCGATGACATCTGTCACAAGGTTCATGTGAGTGAATAACACAAGGGACAATTTGTGCCACGTAAACGCTGTCTACTCACAGAAGTATCTGGCGAACTACCTATTAAAAAGAGACAGTGTGACAACAGCCACCTGATGACCAATCTCACATTACCAGATTCCCGATGACGACAGCCCTCACCTGATTACAAACAGCAGTTGAATGAAGTTTGAGTTCATGAGGAGAAGGCGGTGTAGCAGAAAAGTGATTTATTTATTTAATTTAATTAAAAAGGAAATATTTACGAAAGATTCTACAATCTACATGTATTCAGACTTTGACATTCATCCTGGTGTTTGTCTTCAGTTTCCTGTAGGAGAATAAAATCAGTCAGCAATATTATTGTATGAAATATTTGTGGTGAAATAATACAGACGGACTAATAGTGAGAAGGAGGATGATTGTCGGTGAACTGTGTGCTTGTTCATAGAATCCGAGGATTCTGAATATTTTCAGTGAGTGATGATTGCCATATCCACGATTTTTCGGGGTATTCGAGTTGATACATTTCAATAATTCACTACGGGTCGCATGAATTTCACTAGCTTGCTTGCACAGCCTCAGTGACATTTTTGAAGTGCGCATATGCATTCTCATACATTCACCATACCATCTATTTAGATCCTCTACGATATTATTCTTTGATGGATGTCCTCACTGTAACCTAAAACGACACTCATAACGCTTTCACCATTCGATTTAACAGGAGTATTCAAAGCTGTCATTTGAACCACACATTCATTAAACAGTATTTCAGCCGAAATATCGTCGAATATTCGGCGGTGAAATTATTCTCGAACTGTTGCGTTGAATATCTGTATCCTGTAATGTACTTTGCCCATTCATCATCCTCAACACTGTCTCACATTTCGTACGCTTCATATTAGAGTCACTACACCGATAACAGACCTTCGTATGCTAAGATGTGGAAATGTGATGCAAAATAAAACTCACCTGTCAACTGTTACAGATTTGTTTCTAATATTTTCTTGTAAACTAGAAATGATAAAACAGGTTGAGAAATATTTGCATTACACAGTGAAATGGTTTGTTGTTCATCACTGCGCTTGTCTGATAACTAACATTAGGCAGGCACTGACTATTTTCGAAACCAAATCACAACGTTTACACCGCTTTCGTATAGAAATTTGCAATTGTGAAGTAAATTCATACAGAGAAATTGACTCACAAACTTGCATGGCAACCCAGTGCTTGTGATCGTATAGTGTTCGGGTCAGCAGATTCAGTTGATTAAGATCTGAAATGATTCATGAACGAATATCTTGTAGAGTAAATATCTCACAATCATACTACGACGTTCGAACTCGAAATTATGCGATATGAAAAGACGCGAAACAATCTGTTTCGCCCACAGGATCAACTAACTTACTACAAATTCTACAAACTCATCCACTTGCATTATGCTAAGAATGCACGATGTTCAATATTTAGTCGTGATGGCGCTATATTAGTGCTCGGTCAGTATCACGTTTAACAAATTGTCTTCCAGTGGGTGTTTCTGCTCACGATCACATCATCTTAACAATGGCATCTGTAAATGACTGACCATATCATGAGCACTGAACTTGTTCATCCTGCTTCACACATTATTACCAGACTCACTGCAAATACTCATCGCAGACTATCGTACAATAAGAGGTGGATGTTCATGAATGCAAATCATGATGAAGATATTGTGACATGTGGAAATATGTCGTCGTTGTAGGAGTTTATGAAAATGTTATTCATTTCATGAAGAATGTAAAAAAGGAACAAACAAATACCTTCGTGAGGCGCTGGAGGCAGATTTTCGAAACACTTGTCTAAAGGAAACGCCATCTTCTTGTCTATTCATGGGTGAGTAGGAGTGAAACACAGTTTGATAAATAACTCAGATTTACAATAGAGGTGTGGAGAATGGCATTTCGAAAATTGTTACACCACACTGACAAAACAATTCAAACTGGTTGGCGTAATAAAATGCTACTTACTAGAATATTCTAAGGCTTCTTGTCGGCAACACTTCAAAATTTCCTGGGCTCTTAAGTTTTTTTCTGTAAACAAACGAGTGTAACACATATCAACTTATTTCTCTTCTTCTCAATGTAATACACATTTACGCATATTAAAGACAAATACGATCCGATTTCAGACGATTAAAATATATTTACTAGTTGGCAAATTGTCAGAGAATATCCGAAATGAGAAATACATCAGTCGAACAACTGTCCTCGAGCGCCTCCACATGTTCAGTGCATTACGTAATTCGCCATCTTTATTTAGCGTCAAAAAATAGAGGTAGGACTGAAATAGTTATAGCTGAGATAGTATGGCGGGAATAGAAGCCAGGTGAAGACTGTCAGTGAGAAAATTGACGTGAATTAACTATGGTGAAAGATGAGTACAGAAATGATTCAAAATATTTAGCTTACCTCTGGAGACACGGTCTGCGATTTCTAGGAAAGATAGATAACGTTTATATATATTTAGCATCTCAAATCAATTTTTAGTTGACAAATTTGCAAAATCCCATCACCCGGCAGTCGTATAAGCGTTAACTGTTGAAACGATAAGTGAGAAAGCAAATCATCAACAAGGAGTGTATCGCTTAAATGATTAAAACTCAATGTGGTGAACAAATTTCGTGTATAGAATTATATTTCGAATGAAAGGAATTTAGTGAAACTCACTGTTCAACGCGATTTCTCCCCAAATGTATTTGTTTGCAGTTTTCAGGCAGTTCACATCTAAAATAGATCGTCCATCATTCCAATAAACTCGACTTGCTGCTTACATGTTTCTATTTCTCCTCGTAGGCTTGCATTTTGAATGAGAATCTTGTCTAGGAAAAGAGAGAAGCGAAAACGTCGAATGTTTACAATATGTAGAGGCGTGCATTTAATTCATGTTACTGTGTGCTACATACTAAATGACATGATGGCTGTATTCAGTAATAAATTCGAAAGCACAATTCAAGGCATATTTTGGTCAAGGTTTCAACACTGTGTAAAATAAGGCATCATGTTTCACTCACCCGTAAGATTTTGTACTGCCTGTTCTGCACCATCCACGATCGGTTTGAATCCGCGTATATTTTCTGTGGAGGGACGAGAATATTTTGCATGAATTGTCAAACAGGGAGTAAGAGCACTGAATGCAAGTGTATAACGCACATTGGAAATATTTTCATCCGAACACATCAGAAGGAGTTTCACTTAAGTATATCTGCTCCACTGTTTCCGTGCCGATCAGTCTCCACACTGTCTTTAGTGATATTATATCACTTTCCGAGACTTTGAGGAATACAATGGTGAAAACGATCATTCTGAGACCTTCATTATCCTTTAACTGTTGTCATGATGAATTCTCAAGTCACATGATAAAATCAAATAATACGAATTGAAAACGTGCTTACCATCAACAGCGGAAATAAACATTATCAACAACTGGTAATTCAACGGTTGAACTTGAATTCAAAAGAAGGAATGCGAACAACAGTTGTTATACAGAGGACACGTTTCAGAAAACTGAAGATTATCAGAACAAATTCTATACTTGAATATATGAGTAAAACTTGGGCACTGTGGTAGTAAGCAATTCCATATTAGTTTGTTTATTAGATGTATCACACAGTGAAACAGTACTGTACACTGGATGACGTTTCGAACACAATTTATTGTTCACAATCATATCAATTGTGGTCACACGACTTTGAGATTTGAGTTTTATAGTTTTCTCTGTCGTCTCCTATTTGTCATATGGCCAGTAGAATTTTCCATATATCTGGGATAGGTATTGAATCGTTTCTATTACATATATTTGCCGTTGATTCGATGAACAAAGCTTCTGTTATCAATCTCTCCCTCCATTCACCCTGTGACATTAGATTTTAAAACTGTCATCCTATCCCATCCATCCTATTGTATGGTTGTGTGTAATTGCATGTAGTGCTATAGTTGAACTATTTTCTAGATTTCTTATCTTATTTGGGTCAACCAATCTAGATTTAGCTAGGTTTTTATGTTCCGTTAGTCTGACTGACTGTCCCTGTTCTACTAGTCTGACCTATGTATTTGACCTGACAATCATTGCAGGCAGGGTATTAGATAAACTAAATTGTGTTGTTTTCAAGGCTCAACAGGATTGATCCTCTAGCAGGCAAAGCTTCTTTCTAATTGAGTTTGTGGGTTTGAATACCAGCCACTTTTATTCCTGCCTGCCTTGTTAAGTATTCCGCGTAAGGCTTTCGAGGTTCCTTCCTTGTTTGGAATTACTGTTGATGATTTAGAATCCTTATTGTTGGTGTCGCCATTCATATTGTCATTATCACTATTATTATTACCATCATTATTATCATTATTATTGTTATCATTATTATTATTATCACTATTGCTACTATAATTATTTATTTTATTTTTACATTTACTTACATATTTCTTGACTAATTTATCCGGGTAATTATTAAGTTTCAAGGTTTCTTTTATGTGTATCACTTCCTGTCTTAGATTTTCCTTGACACTACTTAGTTTTTGTGCTCTGTCATTTAAACATTTCACTAATCCTATTTTTACTGACATAGGATGGTATGATCGGAAATCCAAAAATCTGTTTGAATGTGTGGGCTTTCTGTAAACACTAGTGTTTAGCTTCCCATCTTCTTTCCTTTTTACGTTGCAATCTGACATTGGAAGTCCCCCTTCCTGACTTCCTAATTCATAAGTGAATTGAAGTGCCTCTACCTTCGAGTTGATATGCTCGAAAAATCTATCTATATCTTGTGTTCTAAGTACAGTGAATGTGTCATCTACATACCTGCACCATACTTTTGGGGTGGGGGTGAACGTTTCAATCGCAATCTTTTCCCACCTATCCATGAATATATATATGCTACAACTAGAGATATTGGTGATCCCATGGCAACCACCTCAGTTTGTTTGTATATTTTCCCTTGGAATTTAAATACTGTAGAAGTTAGGCAAAACTTCACTCCCAGCATTATGTCCTCAAGTGGCACTTTTGCTCTAAGTTCGAGTTTTTGGTCAGAAATCAGTTCGTTTCTGACCGCCTCTATAGCCATATTTATTGGTATACGTGTATATAAACTGACAATGTCAAAACTAACCATTTTTTTCTTCATCATCTAATTTTGAATTATCTAATCTGTGTTTTAGCGATAAGAATTAGTAAGTCTAGATTTTGAGTGGATCTTTAGGGGATTTAATACCATGGCTAAATATTTAGATAATTCATAGGCGGGTGAATTTCTAAAATCTACTATAGGCCTAATATGGTATCCTGATTTATGAATTTTTACATCGCCATACATCCTACTGGTGTTGAACAAACTAAAGTGGAATATTTACTTGAAATTCGTCAAACTGCTCTCGAAGCTTTATATGTGCCATTTTAGAGCAGAAGCACATCATCTCTAAATGTGTATTCAAGCTATTTAAATCTTAGGAAATTTTAGACTGACACATTATCCGAATAGGAGAACATGTCACTGTGCAACTGTGATTATACACAGTTTCTGAATCAGAATTAAGATGAAAGACGTCTCGGTGATTATGCTGCTGGTCACCATCTACCAAGTAACATGGGTTTGAGATGATAGCATACGCGAAAGTGAGCATTTTGGAGTAGAGGCTCAACCAGAGAGAATGACCCGTGAGAATAAATGGCAAAATATTCAGCAGTCATAATGAATAAGGCAGATATTTCGGACGGAAATAAGCGACAAATATACCATCTTTAGAAGAAATGCTTACCTGCGTTTACGGCTGCAAATGCCAACAGAGTGACAAAGGCTATCTGGTTGTATGCAAAGTAGACCATCTTCTTATGTGAACTGACTTTTCGTCTCCTTATTTATACCACAGCAAGCAGTCACAGTTAATGTTGTAATTGGTTGATTACAATAATCACGATTTCATCGTTCATTTGTTGCAGACTGTCAGTGTTGTGATTGGTGAGTGAAACAACGTATCATAATGTCGGATGATTCATACAATGAATCAGTGGAATCTGAAAGGTGTAATGAAATCTATCAATCTGCAGAAATACTTCAATCCAAATAGTAAGCAGAATTCATGTCATGGAATCCACATGAAGAAAGCACACTCGCGATGCCTAGCGGGAGATCACATTCGGGGAGTGATCTGGTTTTGCGACGATTTGAATTAGCCTTACTAATCTGCAAATGAAGCTGGATATTTTATCCGTGACAGTTCAGCACTAAACACGTTTTAACATATTCTCAGCAGGGGTGTTTCACGTTAATTCCTAATAATAATCTATTCATGAGTCTCCGCAGTAACTAGCCATGAATGTGTGAATACAGTAGCCGTTTGGACACAAGTCGGAATCGCATCAGATACTGCAATGAGTGCGCTGGTATCACGCGACAGATTGACATTTATTCGGATTGTCATTTCACTGCAGTGGAAATATGCAGTCATTGGGAATATGAGATGATGAGTTATAGACTGAATGACTGGATTCAATACACAAGGTTAGGCATATTTTTCACCTATATCGACTTCAGCGACTTAATAATCTGGCACTCCATGGCCCCATTGGAAACATTATTTACTGAGAATAGCTGTTCGACGATGAAAACAGTGAACTGGCGAGGCGTTCATTCAGTGGTTATATGACTATCAACTGACTTGAATTACCCCATGGATTCTTGACATTCTTTCGCGACAATCTTGTCTATCTCCTCCTTGGTATTTATTGTTCTACTCATGAAAACGTCCGCTTCGTTTTTCATTGACTCACATTTAACAGATGCGTTGAAGTCTCATTTCTGCATGAAACGGCTTTCTTCAAACTCTCTCTGACTTCTCTCATCTAATCTTTCTAAATTTTTGAAACTGACAGGTCTGCAGAAGTTGGTTCCATTATGGGTAAATTTTGTTTTGATAAAGTTTTACTGTGTTATACAGTAATGTTTACTGAGGACGGTAATCTGAACAAGTTAATCGCCTTCATAATTTACTATTGAGACATTAAATTTAAATTTCTTCATGAAGATTCGACAAATAAAACGATAAATATCACTGTTGTTTTATTGTTGAGTAGAATACACAGCATAGGAAACACACCCTGATTCCTCTCTCGCTCTTTTTGTTCAATCTTATGTAGGCCAGTGAAGGATGGAGCATGAGCACTTACTTCATCACAATAGCACAGCCTCCAAATCACTGGTGGACAGCTGAATCTAACAGATATCAATCCGTGATCGCAATTTTCCTCGTCATCACGTCTTCAAGATTTCCATCAGGATTCCTTTATAAGTTGTTGTAGTTTCCACTTGGTTTTGAGAACCGCAACATCATACATACCAAGAATACAAGTGTAAACTCTGACTTTACTGCAGTAAATCTCATTCGACATATTACAGTTCACACAGAAATATAAAACAAATTAATATTCTGCAATATTTATCCCAGAGCATAGTCAAAAATCGTTTCTCGGACGAAACAGCAAATATTAAAACTATAATAGTTTACATTGTTTTTGTGTGTGGCGATTGGGCTATAGGAATTCAGCGACGCACCACGACACATCTTCATCTAAACCATGATTATGAGGAGGGTTGATGGAGGAAGAATGGTAAGAATGTGACTCATTCAGGAGTTGATAAATGTTGCATGCCTTTTAGTTTTTGTAAGCGATTTATGATTGAAACGGCCACCGATGTTCAGCGTCTCCACTATCCAAAATTGACAGTCAACACCATCTCACGTGGCTGAAACCAACAGTTAAGCGACTCGCTAAATGAAGACACATTGTTATTTGACTGCTCCCTAATCTTTTTCAACCTACTTCGATATCGGCTAACACTAAATACTAGAGGAGGAATGCAATGTCATGGTAGAGGTAAGACATGATGCAACGATTTCACTCTATTCAGCTTAACAGCCTCATCCACTGGTCTCGTGTCACTACATCACATCTGCAAAGAACATCAGAGCGAATCTCTGCGCACTAGGCATGTTCTTCGATAGACAACTTGAAGTGACGTCTTCGCGAGAGATGACGTCGAGTGGCAAACATCTCATCGGACTTTCTCCTCCCGTACTACTATTTCATCAGCACTCAGTCCAGTTCGCTATGTGGAAATTTGAAAATGAGTTGCGGGTTACAGTATGCGGAACACTTGTATCATTCCTTTGCTTCAATGGTGGAGTTACTGGAATATTCAACGGAAGGCACATCTACTCATTTCATCTTTGATGGACAATCACGTCATCCATGTATACGTTCGAAGAAAGGAGAATGAAATACTTGACTTTTCAACTATCTGAGTTTCATCTATTCTTTAGAGATTTGTGAAAATGCTACTTCCAGATGATATGACATTATGGTTGGCGTATCACTGATGTGCACTGAAGCAATCTGGCATTACATGCTCCAGCGTAGCAATAAACACTTGCAGATTCAGCTAGATGCATTTCATGTGTCATTGAGGCAAGCTAACCGGTCACTAAAATGACGTTCTCTTTCCACACACGATTTACTTTTCATTATTGAATTCCAGTATTGAAACTAACAAATCTACTTCAATTAAGACACTGGAAGCTAATTCCACCATGAAGTGAATTGATTCGATACAGTTTCACTGCGTTGTGCAGTATTATTTACCGAATGGAATGAAACACTCACACAGTGTGTGCGTTCTAATATTACATAACAAGAAGAAAATGTCGAAGAAAATGGTGGGAAAATCTGAGATGTTGATTATTTTGGTGTGAAAACTCCTGATGTTCTCAAATGTCTGAAATATCTGAAACATTCAAAAAGCTCACAAGCGGACGGTGCATCAGCTGTTTACTTTAGAAGATGAGCTGACGTTTTTTGTCTTAATCTTACAAACATTTTCAACGCCTCCTCCTCTCCCAGTAATTTTTGTCTTGTAGCGTAGAACAAAAGGAATTTCATCTTGTAGATATGATTATGTACTGATAACAGTGCTAGATTTATTGCAATGCTATCCTTTTGCATTGATCACCCTATTTTGAAATTATTGTAGAAATTACCGTAAATCTAACATTAACCGATGCAGGTTATCGCAGAAGGACAAATAGGCAAACATTTCAATATACACATGCTCATTTGTAGTGGAAATTACCCTTGAGAAGGCATGTTGCACAAACAACCACGAAAAACACCACCAATGGAACTTTAACATATATCATAATAGAATCAGTTTGTAAAAATAAATCCTATCTCAACTCGACTAGAAAAAGCTCGACGAAACGCCCGCTATCAATAGATGGTTCCGGTGTGTGTATATACTGTCAACGACTGAAATCTGAAGTGCCATCAGAAGAAGATATCTAATGTGGAAGATGTTACACATAGGAATATTCAACGTCCTAAAATTCAAATTAAAACTGCCTTAGTGAAGAAAGAATGTTGCATAATCAATATGCATGTATTTATACCTTTAAAGAACAACGTGTAACGAAAATATGTTCAGATCATGTGGATCAACCATCGTAATTAGTTTGATTGATATTACATATCCGTACGAATGAACTCCAGCTCGCCTTCTGTTTCACGCAATGCTTCTATTGAATTTATTCTAATATCGAAATACTTTTGACTCATATGCACAAACGAAGCATATAAGCTCTGTGAGTACCTTGATGGGGTTATCAGCTAAAATTTTGTTCTTAATATCATCAAAATATATTGCACTGTGTGACTTGATGACAGTCAAATTCCGATTTCTATATTCGCTATACATCCTTTCTCCGAGAAACGTCATAGCCACTGACAGACAGTTCACTTCAACTAATCTGTCCTACTCAAATGTAACCGAAGTCAACTATTCCTCACCACATAGTGTAAAACTTCAATTCAAGTAACATTATTAAATTCAGGTGGACGAAAGAGAATAGCAAGTTACCTCCATCCAATGCATTATACACTCACATAGCAGAAGGATGAGTGAAAGCACCTTGAATGGTATTTCCGCCCTCATTCTGAGAGTGCGTACTCTCAGAATCAGAAGTTTCCATTTTCCACTCTTTATTCTTCTGCTCACGCCAAACTTACTTCACATTACAGATTAATGAGAATTTCTAGTTTGAGGCATGACAATTAGGTGGAGTTGGTTTCATTGTTATCATTATTATTATTATTGTTATAAATTTTGTTACTCTTCTATTTTTATTTTTCTCGTATGATTTTTCAACTGTCACTACGATCCCTCTCAAGGTCACAGGTGCTCATTATCTTCACATTCCGATGTGCAAATTACAACAGCCAGAGAAGAAACCTTTTATAATACTAATACTATTTCTACACAGAAATAATGAAAACTACTACTTATAATTGTATTGTGTCAGTTTTGATAGTCGTATCGTGATTTCCAGTTTTTATCAATCTGCTCACATCATTCAGTTCGACTGGAAGAGATATACTGGAATGACTTCACCTGGCTATATTTCTCAACGACGATAGCCGATTTCTTGTACCGTTATGAAGAAACAGTGGTGTGACCATATTTGAAATACGTTTTGTTTATGTAATCAGGATCTATCTGATTCAGTGTGTTTGAGCATACTCATTTCTCTTTGCAATAGCCTATCTCAGGCGTACAGGTGAATGGTGTTTCACATAAAGCATGAAAACGGCTGGGACACTTTATATGCATGTCATTTCGTTATCCTGACAAGTAAGTAGTGAGTATTCATCATTATTCTAACGGAGCGCGATATTCGAACAGTTAACAATCTTTCTGAATCTGGCTGCATAACCTTTGAAAGTTTTGCTAAGATAACTGGTTGAAAACCGAAAAAATATTTTGCTCCGTAAAACCAGGTAAGGTCGCTTCAAGACCACTATCAAACGCGGCAAAGTCCTTATTGAAGCTATGAATGACTAAGCTTT